TAACATTGCTCATGCAGCTTGGTTATTGGATGTTGGTGCTGGAAAAAACCTTGGGCCTGGAGAAACAGTACAACTTCCAGAAACCATGATCTGTAATGACAATTCTGTCACTGGATTGATCTCTTCCACTTATCCTCATATTGATCACCATCAAGATGATCAGTATTATCTGGACTGTACCATCCTTTCTGGCAAGAACTCTGATGTAGAGGATATCAACTCTGAAGTTCTGCAGAAATGTCCAGGAGAAGAGAAAATCTTGCAGAGTGCAGACTCTGTCATATCTAATGATGGGAATCCTAATGGTCTTGCATTGTATCCAATGGAATACCTCAACTCTCTCAGAGCCAGCAGTTTGCCCTTGGCTAAATTGGCTCTGAAGATTGGTGTTCCTGTCATGCTGCTCAGGAATCTGGATACAACCAAAGGACTTTGCAATGGGACAAGAATGATTGTCACTCACATCGGCACCAGAGTTCTCAGATGTAGGATCATCAGTGGAGATGCCATGTTTTCAGGATCAATTGTTTTGATTCCAAGAATCAATATGGATGTGTCTGAAGAAGATTTGCCAATTCCATTGCGCAGGAGACAATTCTCAGTTCAATTGGCCTTTGCTATGACTATCAACAAGTCTGAGGGTCAATCAGTCAAGCATGTTGGATTGGACCTTCAATCAGGAGTTTTTTTGTATGGCCAACTTTATGTTGCACTCTCATGGTGCACATCAGGAGATTGTATCAAAGTCATTTTGGACCCAGAAAACACATCAAGAAAGATGGCAAATATTGTCTATCAGGAAATCCTGAATGGTTTACAAATCTAAGTGTGAGTTTTGTTGGACTCAAGCAACAAATTGTTAACTTCTATGAACTTCAGCACCTAATGTCTATAGCTGGACCATGTAGTATAGATATTCTTAATGGTTTACAAATGTAAGTGTGACAGTTTAAATAATTGGTTGGTTAGTACTAACTTTTATAATCTTCAGCATCTCTAATATATACTAGTGGACATTGTAGTATTTTGTTAATAATGTAATATAGATACATGATTGGTTTATACATGAAATATCAGTGTATTGAATTGTAAGAGAAAAGCAACATTTGGTCAACAAAATACAAAGACCTAACCAAATAAAGTGAGGTTGGGTCTGGGACTTAGCATTGAGTTTGAAATACAAGGACCTAACTAAACAAAGTGAGGTTGGGTCTGGGATGAAGCATTGAGTAGAATATTGAGGACCTAACCAAACAAAGTGAGGTTGGGTCTGGGATGAAGCAAGAGCTACAGGCCCATGCCAAAGGCATGGGGTGTAGCTTGTAGTGTCACAGGTAACATGCAACAGTTGACCACAGAGGACTTTTGTTTCAAATAAGCATATGAGATGTGCTTCAAGCTTGACAAACATGGCCCTTATGTCATTGAATTCAATGTAGTTGCCTTTGTATGCCATAGCATTGTAGTTGATTCTATCAAGCCACTACACAGTGGGAAATGACATAGTAGACTGTGCAACAGTACTGGCATGGTGCTGAAGAGAATGGAGAGAGTTGAATGTTGAATCAAACTTCTCTGTAAACCATGAAGAGAGGTCTTGACAATGCTGTTGATATGTGGGAGTGGGTTTGAGGGTTTTGAGGCAATTCATCTCTATCTTGAAAGCTGTTTGGCTGGCTCAGCATTGAGACCATTGAGCAGCTTGATTAGGCAATTAATTTGATGGTCTGTATATACATAGCACAAGAGGCTACTATCACAAAGCAGCATTTCCAAGAGACAAATAACACAAGTTGCATAAGTTCTGATGCAATTTTTGTGGTCTTGAAACTGCTTGAAAGGCATGTTGCTAATTCCACTATGAAAAAATAAATATAGAAGGAATTGTACAGTAATATTAACTGACCTCTTAACAGGATCTAGAGATACCAAGCACTGAAGAACAAGCTCTGGAAGTTTGGCAAAGAGCTATTTACCATTATCAAATAGTTGGTAAACTGCTTCTGCAAGACCAGGTAGTTGTAATTCATCCTTGTGAGGCATAAATGCCAGTTTGACAAGAGCAGTCACAGAACATCCTTGAAGAATTTGCAGCCAACCTGTAGACTGCAGAAATGGACTGACAAGTCTTGGATCAAGGTGCTGGCCTACAGGATTAGGCTGTACTATTGTTGCTGATATTTGAAGATTTTGATGCAGGTAGAGCCTGCACCTTATATTGAGGATGTCAGTTCACTGTTGATGAGAAAGATTCCAAATGGCTCACTTGTGCATCAACATTATTGCTGATGTTTAAGGAGTTTAATGCAGGTGGAATCTGGAACCTATGTTATGGCACTAACAGTTGGCAAAATTGCAAATGACTCACTTCTGTATCAACATTGTTGCTTATATTTGAAGATTTTGATGTAGGTGGAGCCTGCAACTTATATTGAATCATGACACCAGGAGCATCACTGATCCAGGTGCAGTTGGTATCATGAGCATGTTTGAGCTACCCAGCAGTGGTTCTAAAAGTGTGTCCAGTAGAAACAATGGACCACTTGCATAGAAAGTCATGTGTAGCTAGATTTTGAGTCAGTGAAATTTTCAGACATGCTTATGTAAGCTGTTATAGGTTGCCAGATAGGGAAGGTGGTGCTTGATGTTCAAAAGACAATTCCAGCTAAATTGAATTGTTATATTTGGTTGTATAAATAAAGACAAATATTAGACCAAACAATGCTTGAGTATTGACTTTGGTACAGCTATATCATAGAGTGTCATATCAATAGAAATGAACATGTTCCATTTGAATGTTTGAAAAGTCTGAAACTGCTGGCATTTCCATTGCTGGCATTTCCATGAGCCATTCCTGCATTTTCAACAATGTACCATCTGAATTGTCTCACATTGGAGAAATGCTGGCATTTCATTGAAGATACTTATAAATGAGCATGTCCCATGTCAATTATGCAACATCATAACAGACTTGGCATTTCCCCCATCTTTATTTTTCAAAATAATGACACTGCTGGCATTTCTTCTGGACATTCTGGTATTTCCATTGACTCATTACTATGATCCTGGAAAGTGGAAATGCTGGAACAGCTTATAGAAATGCCAAAATGACAAATACACATTTCAGCCAGCTCATGCTCTTTAAAAATTTAGATGGAACATGTTGATAATAACATGGCACTGCAGCAATGACCAGTAGAAATGCCAGCAGTTTCATAAACTTACAAAATTTTGTTGGAACATGGTCATTTGTATTGACATAAGACTATTGGCCAGTCTGGCATTTTCCTTGGCCATTCCAGCATTTCCACTGGCCATTCTGGCATTTCCACTGGCCATTGCTGCAGTGCCATATTATTATAAACAATCATGTTCCATCTAAATTTTTAAAGAGCATGAGCTGGCTCAAATGTCCATTTGTCATTCTTGCATTTCCATGAGCTGTTTTAGTATTTCCATTAGCCAGTCTGGCATTTCCCTTGGCCATTCCAGCATTTCCACTGGCCATTGCTGCAGTGCCATGTTATTATAAACAATCATGTTCCATCTAAATTTTTAAAGAGCATGAGCTGGCTAGAATGTCCATTTGCATTCTGGCATTTCCATGAGCTGTTTGAGCATTTTCATTGGCCATCCTGGCATTTCCCTTGGCCATTCTAGCATTTTAATTAGCCAGTCTGGGATTTCCCTTGGCTATTCCAGCATTTTGATGTTATTTTCCAAGATTGTAAAGCTGCTGGCATTTCCACTGGCCATTCCAGCAGTTCCTCTGGCTATTCTGGCATTTCCATGAATATTTTATTTGAATTTCTCAGCATTATGAAGCTGCTGGCATTCTCACAAACCATTTTTGTATTTTCATTGACCATTCTGGCATTTCCATCAGTCATTAGCAGAAATCATTTGGGCTTTTCCATTCTCCACTGAAGTATCTTCATAATACTTATAAAAGAGCATGTTCTAACAAACAGAACTTTTCAATATGATGGTATTATCATCTGCCATTCTAGCATTGCCATCTGCCACTCCAGCATTTTTTTGGCTGTTCTGGCAGTGCAATGTCATTGTAAAAGAACATGTTCCATCTAGATTATTAAAAATCATCAGGCTGCTAGCAGCTGCCTTGTCCATTCCTACATTGATATCTGCCATTTTGGTATTTGCATGAACCATTGCAGGATTGGCCTGAGCCATTGAAGCAGTGCCATATTATTATCAATGCACATCTTCCATCTAAATTTTTGAAGATCATGAGCTAGCTCGCATTTTGCTTGGCCATTCCAACATTTCTGTCAACCATTCCAGCATTGCCAAGTTATTATAAATGAACATGTTCCATCTCAATTTTTAAATATCATGAGTGGGCTGGCATTTCCACTGGTCATTCTGGCATTTCTGCAAGCCATTCTGGCATTTCTCTTGACCATTCTGGCATGTTCATAGGCCATTCCAGCATGTTCAAAATATGCACCATATTTTGAAAGAAAATATAACAAGCCCAAGTCTAATGCCAATTAACAGCAATACAGGCTGATCACTCTACGATGTCCCTGTCAAACCCTTCTGGTGCCTTGTGGCACTCATGATTATTGTAAAACTAAAGACCTCGCTCTGGAAGAGCACCCCATTGGTGGCAATGACAATGCCAAGCCCAGCATCTGGGAATGTGTTTGCCCAGTGTCCTGAGGAATATAGTCAGTTGGTGTCCATAGGAGAGAGGCAGAAAGACAGAACTGACTTGATTGCACCTGCAGCTGTACTAGGTCCAAACCACTGCCCAACATCCTTACTTCTTCAATTATCATCTTACTCCCAAATTGACATGTCATAAGATGTGTTGTGAGAATGGATCATCACTGCTTCTTGTCTCCTACATATATACATATTGTAAAAATCAGATGGAGAAACACAACTTGTCAGCCATTAAGGCCAAAGACTGAGAGAAGAGGCTAAAATATTAAATTTTGCAAAGATTTCCGAACAAAAAAGCGAAAAAATAATGGACACTATGGGAATTGAACCCACGACCTCACGCAATCGGACACCACCGTGGCACTATGCGAAACGTGCACGCTACCAACTGCGCTAAGTGCCCTTCAACCGAAGGGAAGTAGGTAAAATAATCCCAGCGGGATTGAGAGCACCAACCGCAAGCCCGAATAATCCCAGGTTCAGCCAAAACACCCCATAATAAAGTATCACTTACCACGATACTTACACGAGTTATTGTACTACTCAGAAGCATACGCATTATTCTGTTATCATTCATATCGACATCTGGAACAGGCAGAGCGAGAATGGGAATCAATTTTCGAGAGAGCTGTTGTATAAGACCTTCCAGGAAATTGCGAAGGAATTATGTCCACAATTCCGACTTTCATGGTAACGGTAAGCAATTTGTGAGAAAGGTGTCATGTTACACTAAGATTACTTGGTAGGTAAAGTATGGCAATGGTAATGAATCTACAAAGGAATGATGGTCACTTTTGTCCTCCTTCGGAGCGGCCAGTGGGTAAACCTCTTGAGGGGAGCGGATAGATTGCAAATCTGTGCATGAACATTAGTATGGAGTGCGAAATAGACATAGGATTGACGATCATCAGAGAGGATAACTACAGCAGAAGTAGCTAAAATAGGCCAACCCACAGACTGGAAAAAGAATAAGCAAAAGAGCAAGGACTTGTAGAAGTTCACGAACGCATGATCATTAACAGTCACGTAGAAGAAAGATATGCCCATAACATATTGTACAAAGAGATAAACTGTGGCCGCGAAAATTGAAATACGACCGCTGGCCAGCAGACGATCCCTTGTACGCTCTGGTGATCATTAGATAATATTTGTTAATTGCAGCTCATAGATAGACTAACTAACACCAGCATCTATCTCTCTATCAAAGATGTCATTGACAGTACAAGTTGAGCTGCGCAGGAGAAAAGCACTGATAAAACGTTCGATGAAATGGCTCCCATAAAGCTGTAGTGGCAGACCGGCGGCGAACGCGGCCATTGTCAAACCGCATGCTACAATGCTCGACTATGAGCAGAACAGTATTGGGAGCTTTCCGAAAGCGAACCAAACGGCCAGAACATAAGGACAGTTCCTGTGGGCTGGGATGGGTGAGTTACATTGCTCACTATGATCGTTCATGCCAAACCTTCTCCAGCCTTATAAGTTTAAGATACAGAAAAAAGTGAGAGGATGCCAAGTCAAGAGGAAGCCTCATAACGATTTTGGAGAGTTTCGATGAGCAATTAATAGTATTGTTTCGTCACTGCGGCCCATGATGAAGAAAAATACAGGGAGGAAAAATATAGTCAACGGAGGATGGTTAGTGTATCGTCGCTTCATGGTATGAAGCTTTTATAGTTGAGAGTCATAACACCAAGCGGAAAGCTGGGCTAACGAATCGGTCATTCGTAAATGATCAGGTCGCGGTTGAATCGTCGTGCCTGATAGGTCGTGCCTGATGGGATCAGTGTAATTCAAGTGTATATTGCTGTAGAACAACGCGTGGTGTGGGTACCTACTTCATGTTACGCAATTCATACGGACATGAATCTGTCAGGGTAACTGGCGCACTATTGTAAAAAAAATCCATAAAAACATCTTTAATTGGCTCAGAGTTCTTACCGGTTCTTGTTGCTTGAGAAAAAAGTTGCCACCGGTCCACTGCATCAGAAGCATTACTTGTGTTCTAATAGAAAAGGATTAACGGAACCTTACTTGAACGCTGTTAACCTGTGACTCTTGCCATCCACATAGATATGTATCTATAGTGTGCACCAAAGGTAATAAGGACTCCACTGGAATTACCTCTCTTGTTCCTTTTTCTCTTCTAGTCTGACAAACTTGAGTAATCAACTTATTATTGTATGCTACCATGTATGGATCTCATAGTTATGCTCTACCACATTCAGGGTCTTGGAGTAGAAGGCCACTGGATGCCACTTCCCATCTTCCAGGGACTGTTGTGAGAGAACTGCTCTGATGGTAAAGTCAGAGCTGTCAGCTTCTACTCAGAAGGGAGAGTTATTGTCTAGGAAGAGGAGCATGGGTCCAGAGGTAAGCAAGTCAAATGAGGCTTTAGAGAACACATCCTCAAATGCATGGAGGTACAGAGGCACAATGTCCCCAAATGCCTGGGGTGCAGAGTTGGCAGCAAATGCCTGGCCCAGCCACTGGGATGTGGTCTGGCTAGCCCAGATTGCCATGATGGAGGGCAGTGAATGTAAGGCAGTGGCATAAATCTGGTTCCCAACTTCTGCTGCTTGGTCCAGGAGCTCCAGGTCATGTACACCTCCAAACTCCTCTCCATGTTCCTTGTCTGGAGCTCCACCACTACTCTGGTCATCCTCATAGAGGGCCTCTCTATGGGGGAACACCAGGGGCATGGGATTTAGGAGGTCTAGGTCAGTAAAGGGGAGAGGGCCAGCATGGCATGCACAGATGGCTGCATGCTCTTGGACTTGAGCCTGGCATTCTTCCTTGACCTCTGTGGTTTAGGCAGAGCACCTCCAAGGGCACTGGCTCATTGCTACCTTGCTCTGGGCCCACTTGACTTTGGGGTTGTGCTCCCTGAGCTATGTGAAACCAAGGATCATATTCTGCTTGCCCAGACTGGTGACAGCAAAGACTGCACATTCTGTGTGATTCCAGTAGCAGAGGACAAGGTCAATCACAGAGCTAAATGGCACCTGCTTTGTTGGGCATTCTGTCAATGTTGAATACTGGAAGTCCAAGAACAGTTCCATTACTCTGCTGTCTAAGAGAGCAGTGACTCCACAAGTTTGCTGGGTGTCTGTGGTCTCAATGTCCATGTCAAGGTGCAGTGAGTTCACAAAGGGGCTTGAGGCCACTATGTACTGCCAGGGCATTTGGTGCTCCAAGGTGGGGCCATGCCAGTGGGTCCTAGTTGGCATTGGGGAACTTGGCTTGAACTCTGTAGTTGGTGTTTGTATGTCTGGAGGGGGAAACTGAGGTTCTTCTGTCTTAGAATGATGGGCAATGGGAATGACAATGTCATTCTCTAGGAACAGACATGAGAACCTGTTAGTACTTGGCAACAGAGCCATACACTTCATCCATCACTTAACTAGAAATCCTCCTCCAGATCTGGGTGTGATGTGTAGGTGTGGATCTCCTTTGGGGTTGACTCCAGTGCTGGCTCATCAGGCAATGGAGCTCTGGTGGCATCCTTTATGGCCAACAGTGGCATGAGGAGTTCCTCCTGCTTTACTGTAGAGAGATAGCATACCTCCAGCCTCAATGGGCAGTGTTGTGCAAAGTGCCCAGATTTCTTGCATCTCCAAAACAGTAACAGCAGAGTGTGGAGCTGTTAAGCAGTGTCCACATCCATGGGAATGCCTAGCAGCAGGTGGAGCAGTGTGGGGATGGCTGGAGGAGGTGTGGGCATTGGGAGAGCAGGCACAGGATACTGGAGGCTGGCAACCAGAGCAGGGTGCTGTGTTTAGTGGATGCAGTGGAGCTCCTGACAAATCTCCATGAGCTGCCACTGATCTATGGCTACCTTGTACCAGGAAGCAATCCTTTTGTTGTCTGGGCAGCCCTCCACAAGGTTGTCAATGCATTCTATTAGCATGGGGTGTAGGCCATCCCAGAACACAAGGCACAGTTGAAAGCCATCAGGGTAGGCAGCTTGCTCAACCAATGCCCAGAAGAAGTTGATGTACTTGTCCAGCATCTACTTCCCTTGCCAATACTGCTTCCTGTCACATAGTGCTAAGGCAGTGGTTTTGGCAGGGTTGAGTGGGAAAAACTCCATATGAAAGTCCCTTTCAAAAGCTGCCCAGTCTGCAAAGATTCTGACACCTCTGGGGCATCTGAAAATCTACAATGCATAAGTGGAGGCATGTCTGGTCTTCATATCTAATAGTATATAAGCTATCTTCAGTGCATTGGAGTTGAAGGCATCCTTGCTCAGGTGGATGTAGGTGAGGCAGGACTGGAGGAAGCACTCCCCACTGGAGCAAGCACTGTTGTACATGCCTGGGAGTGCAGAATGTGGAATCTGTTGCTGTAGGGTCACTGGAGCTGCAGGAGCAATTGCTGGAATGGCAGGGGCTGATTCCACTGCCAGGGAAGGTGCAGAGATAGGGAGTAGGCACTCAAGCAATGCCTAGAGCAATTGGGAGATATGATCTGTGGTTTGATGGAGGGTCAAGAGTTTGGTTGTGTGGTGGGTGAGAGATGATTACATCAGTTGCACCTGTTTTTCTAAGTGTAGCAGACAAGTCCAGGCTTTGTCCTGTGGGGCCAGAGCCACCAAGGGGGTGTCTGGGTTGGCAAGCTGAGATGTAGAACTCTGCAGTGCTTGATCCTAGTGGGAAAGCAACAAATAGGGGCTCAGAGATTCCTTGCAGGCTATGAGGAGCTTCTAGGCCAGTTTTAGATGACTTGTTCTGCTGTAAGGGCAACCTCTGGGAGCAGTGGCTCAGAGTCATGCAGCTAGCAGAGGGGAATCCAAAGTATATTAGTGAAGTAGATGAGGATACAGCAGTAACTAATCACCTAGCAGTGAGGAATCTGAAGAGAACAAGTCTAAGGGTCCCTGCTGCTTGGTGCAGTGCATCTGTGGGCAGTGGAGACATGGGAATGGCTATACAGAAGGCTGGAGCTAGCCCTAACCCTAGGGAAGTGATTTATGAGGTAATATAGAAGTGATTGATGAGGTAATATAGAAATTTTAGCTCTGGACAAATACAACCCTCTAAGTTCCTAATAACCTCCTCAGTCTTTTTTATTAAGAAGAAGGATGAGTCTCTTCATCTGGTTCAGGAATATTGAGTCTTGAATGCAATGATGATTAAGAATTGCTACCTCTTGCCACTCATTTTGGACCTTGTCAACAACTTTTGAGGTGCATGCTACTTCACTAAGTTGGATGTTCATTGGGGCCACAACAATGTGCACATCAAAGAAGGAAATGAGTGGAAGGCAGCATCCAGAACCAATTGTGGACTCTTTGAACCTCTGGTAATGTTCTTTGGTCTCATTAATAGTCCAGCCACCTTTCAGACTATGATGAATGACATTTTCTGTGATCTGATTGCAGAAGGTGTTGTCTGTGTGTAT